AGTTCTTCGTCTTTAGTTGTTTATACAAGGCGGTGTCAGTTTTTCTTCGAGTTTGAATGTTTCCTTGGTATATTCTGCCTCTCCCCCTTAAATAAATTAAAATTTTGTAAATAAATTTAGAAAAATCCGGAAATTATAGATTGAAGATTTCTTTCTTCCTGGCATTTTAACGTATAAATGACCGTTCATACTTGTGTAGAAATGTTGTACATATTATTTGTTTTAGTTCAATGCAACTGATAAAATTGTCATTGATTTAGCAATGTAAATAAAATTTCATCAAACGTGCCTACTAAAAATCACAACAATTTAATAAAATAGTCAAGAATTTAAACCATTTATGATCACTCATTGTCTCTGTAAAATATATTGAAGGTCTACTAAATCGAAAATGAAATTAATGTTGGTAAACTTTTATCGTATAACTCATTTTGTGTCGAAATTTCGTTTAGTCTACCTGTAATGAAATAACACCGTCAAGTGCTACCCGTTATTATTATCAATTAAAGTGCATGCGTAAATAATCCTTGTTATTAATAGTGCTTGAAAATCATATTATCAAGTCAGTTTCTCTTCAAATTTTTAATCATTATCGAATCAGATCGAAGATACGAGATGATTGACAGTAGTGGACAAACTGCGAAATCGCGAAAAAGGCGAAAAGGCGAAATTGCGAACAGGCGAAACCACAAAAAACGCGAAATCTTGAAAACGCGAAATTGAGAATTTAATTTGACTTCGCGTTTTCGTGTTTCCTATTTCGAGAACTTGCGTTTTCGCTTTCGCGGTTTTGCGATTTGGCGTTTTCGCCTTTCAATAAATGTTCAATGACGACAATGCCAATACTCAAAAACACAAAAGTGACCGCATCTTCCACCATACAGTATACATTGGACGTTAGACATTATTGAAGGACAAACGGTCTGTCATAAATGATAAATGGTCAGTGATAGCCGCATGCCTGTTGCATCAAATCTCTATATAGTTGATGTAACTTGAACATTTGTTTATATTTAAAATCAAGCCTTTCTTTCTTTCAAGTTTTTTTTTCTACATTACAATATCAATGATCTATACATTCTACCGTTAAAACAAACTTGCACAAATAAGCGAAGTGAATGTTTTAGTTTACAAATACATATTCGGCTGATTGAAAATTTGATCTAAACAAATTGTAATTGCGTATTATATATATTTATGAATTAGTAAAGTGAAATGGGTTATATTTGTGTGATATATCAATAAAATACGATATAGTTGTTTACTATATATATCGGTAATCTGTCATTTACTATTAATCAATGATCATTGCGTTTATGAGTCTACATCTCTTTCTTACCAGAGAACCATATGCCTGTGCATACAAAGTGATATAATGCGTCTGATGTTTGTGATTTTATTGTTTTCTTTTTTTTGTCTTACAATGTAAGCAGTGTATGTTTCAATGAAGACTCAAGACATAATTACCATACTGAAGTTTGTTGTAGGTAAACAAACTGTTTTCCTTTTTTTGTTTTGGGATGAATGGTGTTTATGTCATCACCTCGTTTCGACTAATTTCTAGTGATTGTGTCATTATATGTACCTTACGGGCTTCTCTCTTTTTATTCATAAGTATAAAATGTTTCGAAGTGGAATTATACGGCCACAGTAAACCTCTTAATATTGTGACAGAGAGAAAGCCACTGATAAGATTCTTGACTACCACAATCAGGAAATACATATTACTATGGGCATGCCTTTAACCAGACTTATTCAGAAGGGAAATAGTTATGATACTGTTGTCAGGTCATTAACGATGGCATTTTTTAGCTCACTGTTCCGAAGGAAGGAACGGCGAGCTTTTGCCATCACTTCGCGTCCGTCGTCGTCCGTCCGGTGTAAACTATTTCAAACATCTTCTCCTCTGAAACTACTGAACCAATTCCAACCAAACTTAAGCCGAATGATCCTTATGGTATCTAGAATAAAGTTTGTGTTTTATTTTCTGTTTCGTCAAAAAACATGGCCGCCATGGCTAAAAATAGAACATAGCGGTAAAATGCAGTTTTTGGTTTATATCTCAAAAACCAAAGCATTTAGAGCAAATCTGATATGATGTAAAAATGTTCATTAGGTCAAGTTCTATCAGCCCTGAAATTTTCAGATGAATCTAACAACCACTAAATTGGTAATTATAAGAAAATTTTGCAGTTTTTGGTTATTATCTTGAATATTATTATAGATAAAGATAAACTGTAAACAGCAAAAATGTTCAGCAAAGTAAGATTTATAAATAAGTTTATATGACCAAAATTGTCAATTGACCCATTTAGTAGTTATTGCCCTTTAAGGACAATTTTACACAATTTGTTTTTCATGTTTTCTAACTTTAAAAAATCTTCTCCTCTGAAACTACTGAACCAAATTAAACCAAACTTAAGCTGAATGATTCTTATGTTATCTTGAATAAAGTTTGTACTTTATTTTCTGTTTCCTCAGATAACATGGCCACCATGGCTAAAAATAGAACATAGGGTTAAATGCAGATTTTGACTTATATCTCAAAAACTAAAGCATTTAGAGCAAATCAGACAAGAAGTTAAAGTATTCATTAGGTCAAGGTCCACCTGCCCTGAAATTATCAGCCAAATTGGGTATCTGATATTTAGGTTATTGCCCCTGAATTGGTGATTTTAAGGAAATTTTGCAGTTTTCGGTTATTATCTTGAATATTATTATAGATAAAGATAAACTGTAAACAGCAAAAATGTTCAGCAAAGTAAGATCTACAAGTAAGTTTTATGACTATAATTGTCAATTGACCCCTTAAGGAGTTATTGTCCTTTAAAGACATTTTTTCACAATTTGTTTATCTAATCTAGTTTGCTTACATTAAAAAATCTTCTCCTTTGAAACTGCTGAATCAATTTCAGCCAAACTTGGGCTGAATGATTTTCAGAGTATCTTGTATAAATTTTGTATTTGATTTCCTTGTACGTCAAGAAACATAGCCACTATGGCTAAAATGGAACATAGGGGTAAAACCGTAAAATGCATTTTTTTGCTTTTGAAGAAAATATGACAGATACAAAGAACATTTAAATGGCATTTATAAGCCACTCATTAATATATATTGAAAAGCAAAAATAATCATTGATGAAAGATTTAAGCAAAAAATTGCAGGTGAGTGATTCAGGCTCTTGAAAGCCTCTTGTTTAAATTAATATTGATTCATTCATAGGGTCTTTGTATCGGAAATAAACACATTTATTCTAAAACCAGTTGTTAGCATGATACGTGTTATGTTCTTCTCGTATATTTTATGATGTTATGATACTAAACCCCTTACGGGAGGGATTGTGCTTAATTTTCATATGATGAATACATAATCTTTCAATCAGTTTAATTGAGGTCTGGAGCTGGCATGTCAGTAACTGCTAGTAGTCCTTTGTTAATGTATGTTGATCTTTGTCATTTTGCTTAGTTTCTTCTGTTACCTATTCTAACATCGGACTTGGACTTCTTTTTAACTGAGTTTTACTGTGCGTATTGCTGTGTGTTTGTTTATTCCACATTTGCTAGCGGTATGGGTGGAGAGTTGAGATCTCACAAAACAAGTTTAACCCCGCCGCATTTTTGCGCCTGTCTCAAGTCAGGAACCGCTGGCCTTTTTTAGTCTTGTATGTTCTTTTAATCTTGGTTCATTTATATGTTTTGGAGTTTAGTGTGACTTCCATTTTCGCTGAACTAGTAAACATTATTGTTTAGAGGCCAGCTGAAGCCCGCCTCCGGGTGCGGGATTTTCTCGCTGTGTTGAAGACCCACCCATTGGTGGCCTTGTGCTGTTTTCTGCTCTTTGGTCGGGTTGTTGTCTCTTTGACACCTTCCCCATTTCCATTCTCAATTTTATTAGTTATATGATGATGGGGGTCATCAGTCCATCTGCTGTCTGAAGTGGGCAGTTATATAATGATTGGGGTCATCAGTCCATCTTTTCAAGCTTTCGTCAAGAAAACACATAATAACATGATCATGGTTAAGTTGCCTGAGAAGACTCACAGAGAAAGTCCATTTTATTAAATAGGACAAATTTTGTTAGCTAAGATATTGTGGTATTGTCAGCTTAAGAGTAGACACATCACAACAGTCAACAGACATCATGATAGTGAACAGAGCCAGCACGACAGTCAACATAGACATCATAACATCAACAGAGACGTCATAAGTCAACAGACATAACAGTCAACAGAGAGATCATAACCAGGCCCGTTGCCAGGGGGGGTTTAGGGGTTTGTACTAACCTGCCTTGGAAAACAAATAAGCTATATTAAAGTCAACATTCTAAAACGTTATAACATTCAACAGAGATATTAATATAGTCAACAGCGGCATTACAAGTCAACAGAGACATCATTGCAGTCAACAGAGTCATGTGACCCTAAAAAAGGTGTTTTTTTCAAAACTTCCAATGGATGTATTACAGAAATATTTAATACTGTATTAATATATAAGGAGATTACAAGCTCTGTTACAAAATTGGATACATAAATTTCTTTTTCAATACTGAATAAATGTCATACTAAGCAGTATGATGCAACCACGGAACCTTTAAGATACCGTATCGTAATCTTCTTTTAAACTATATGGCTAGTCTGAATATAAGCTTGTTACTTTTTTGTAGGAATGTTGTATGCAAGTCTTTGAGAAATTCTTCATTTAGATCCAGCTGAAAACCATAGCCAACAATAGCAATTCTTGGTACTAATTGGACACATTTTCTCCTTTCATTCACAAAGCAAAACTACTTCTACTTAATAGGAATGAGGACACCTTTCTATAAAGAACATACTTGTCATCAATGATGTGAAATGAATCCAATTTAATAAATACCATTGAAATTATTTTTTGTTTTTTCTGAATGACCCTATCATGAATCACATTATCCAGGTTAGCCATACAACCTTGTTAAAACCCCTAGTTTTACATTCTCATATCAATTTTGTAATTAAAAACATATATTTCATAAAATCTTATTCTTTATTTCAGAATATATATATCATAATTAATAATGTAATTCAACAGTAAGAAGTTAAACAATTATATAACTTATCTACAGGGTAATATATACCTGAACCTTACTTCATGAAAATATTCATACAAAATGTTCACTTCACATTATACCCTGGAAATAAATCAATGTCAACAAATTTTGATTACAGGTTGGAAAGCTTTAGTTTTATATTTATGATTAATCATTGTTTGACACCTGCATCAAAATCCTTTAAACATGTTTAAATGTCTCACCTTCTTTACTTATCATGATTGAATTTTTATACCCTACACCAAACGTATTGCTTATAGGATCTAAGAAACAGACCTAATTACTCCAACATTGACCAATGAACCATAAAAATGAGGTCAAATTCAAATGGTCCCTGCCAGGCAACATGAACACCATGCAACCATTCTATACACAGAAAAAAAATGACCTACTGCTTATAGTATCTGAGAAACAGAAATAACAATGAAAACGTAACATTTGACTACTGATCCATGAAAATGAGGTCAAGGTCAGATAAACCCTGCCAGACAGACATGTACACCTTACAATCATTCCTTTCACCAAATATAGTTGACCTTTTAATTTGCTTATGGTATCTGAGATACAGACATGACCACGAAAACTTAACCTTGATCCCTGATCCATGAAGTAAACATTTGGTGGGAAAAATATCAAACAAGTGGAAGACAGGAAAAATGTTGGCAAGTTTTGTTGGTGGCGATTCTAGTACTAACAATATGTTCAACAGGTTCTATTTAGTTAGACATTATACATAACACAACCATGATAATTAATCTTATAATACAATCTTGACATGTTACATAACACAACCATGACAATTAATCTTATAATACATTCTTGATAAATAACAGAATATGACACTAACCTTGATTTAGATCATGGAAATATGCAAATTACGCATGCCATAAATGTAAATTTCTATGCTAAAACTGTATGAGGTTTATGGATATATGTTGGGACTTTTGAATATGTTATATGATTATCGCGTGAAAATTGCTGCCTATAAATATCCAGTCTAAGCAAATAAAATATATAGAAAAATACATGTAAAAATATTCCTGTTTAACAAATGAAATGAAACTTATGGTTGTGAAGTTCTAAAAAACCAAAGGGGTACTATAAATAAATGTTTCAAGCTCCCTGAATTTAGTATATGTATAACCCATTCACTATATGTATTTGTTGAATATAATCAAGTGTGGTATGATATGCAAAGTTATTTTTCATTAAGTTCTTACAACACTGGCAAAAATCATATATATATCTTACATTTGAAAAAATATGAAAAAAAGGAATTAACTTTGTTTTAGTGCTCATAATACAGATTTTTTAATATTGTGAAAAGACAATGCAAGCTGACTTTAAAAAAAAAACTGTCATAAAAGCAGGATAAAAATCTTATCTCAATCCACTATATGACAACTTGATGTCCAACCAGAGCAACCTTGCACAAGAAAATTGAATACTTGAACTGCAATCAAATATGAAATCAAAGTATTGTTCAAACTTGAATTTTGTATCTGGTTCAATTTTAAATAATCGAACTTCCTGCATTGCTCAAAAATTAAAAAAAACATGATTTCAAAGTTAATAAATATATACATATAGAAACTATTTACAAATCCAGCCTGCACATAATCAATAAGGATTTATTTTTTAATACAACAGCTTAAGCACTTACATGGCACTATTATCTGTATTGCACCAAATAAAAATCTATATATACATACTTCAAAATGGGTCTCATTGGGGTCTAAGCGTGACCCGGGATTGCCAATTTTTTGTAAGAGTGACATGTGAAAGTCAAATTATTGTGCCGTGAAAACGGGAAATGAAGTCTAGCGGGACACCGGGAATTACAAAAAAATGAGAATTGCTTACGTACATAGTGCAAGCGGGATACAGGAATCTGACAAAACGTTAAGCGGGATCCGGGATCAGAACCCCCCAATGAGACCCCCTTCAAATTATACATTGTACCCAATACACCAAAAAACTGAAAAAATAAATATGTATCTTTACAAAAACATTTGTTTAAATCAATAATGTTGAGTAATTTCATAACATTCAACTCATGAAGAGTGTTTTTAAGTGTTTCAGATTTGAGCAATGGTAATTGAAAATAAAAGAGGTCTTTACACCTTACACAAAATAGTTGTCATATGTAAAGAACATTCTAAATATGGAGTACATTTAGAAGATAACTCTGCTTCGTGTCACAAGGGAAACTAAATTGCCACAGTAAGACCTACATTTTACATAGACAAAGCTTAATATACAATAATACAGTTATCTCCATTAGAATGCAAAATAAACACAGCTTTCCATTGAAGACTTTATTGGGTGTAAAAATCTGATAGCTGGAAAATTCTGTGAAACATTGTTCTCCTCTATGGAACAGTATAACGTCGTTGTATGCTTCTGGCACAAAATGTAAATATGGCATGAATAAGCATTATGTTTCATTCAGTAGGAAATAAAATATACCAAAAAGATATTTTAAGGTGAGATATATGACTATTTTGTTTCTAATTGAAGAAATCAAAAACCAATAAGTTAAGAAATTCAAAATGGCAGCTCCCCCTTTAACAGACCAGTTAACCGGGACTTTACCCCCTAAAAATACAGAACATCTTTTAATAAAAACTGTGACTACATTACAATTTAATTACAATGCAATATTGTTTCCCCTTCAAACAGTTCCCCCTATGTAAAATTATAATACACATGTACTGCTGTATCATAAATGTCATCTTTAAGTATGAGATTCCAGTTAAAAAAAATATTTTCTATTACTATATCATATAATTCTACAGTACTGTGCTCTGTACTTAAACATTTCAACATCACAAAATTATTTTGAACTGCCATGTTTTAAAGTGAATACTCCTGATAAACCACTTAACAATTTTGCTAAATGATGTAATGATTACAACAACACATCAAGATTAGAATCAAAATCTCTGGTGATCATTTCTGGTGAGACCAGAATAAGTCACCATGTCTTGAAAATCTGGTCTGTTTTGATAGGTTGTCTCATCTGATATGACTCCATGTGTAGAATTAGCCTGAAATGAATTTTCTGGCTGTTCTGCATTTTGTACAAGAGGTGGTGTTGATAGGTAAGATAAAGCTCTTTCTCTTCTTTTCTTCAGAATAATCACAACAATAATACCAATGACAGCAAGTCCTGCTAATGTTCCTAGTATTGCAACTGCTATCTGGGCTCTCGGGTTTACTGAATAACAAAATAAACAGACATTACAACAAGCATTCTGTGAGTATTGCCTGGCAAAACATAGTCCCCTACCGGTTAAAAATTCATTGTACTGGAACAAAATGCTTACTTGATCTATAACTTGTCATGGTATAAACTATATAACAAATATCAAGTCAATATCTTCAAGCATGACTGATGAAAATGTGGAAAATTGATTATTTGAGTGAATTTTGTAAGTCCAAGGACCATAACTCTGCACAAAATCATCAGACCGGAACAAAATTCGAACTTGATCTGTAACTTGTCATGATAAAACTATATACCAATTATCAAATTAATATCTTCAAGCATGATGAAAAAAAGTGAGGAAAACTGATTATTTGAGTGAATTTTTTAAGTCCAAGGACCATAACTCTGCATAAAATCATTAGATCGGACCAAAATTCAAACTTGATCTGTAACTTGTCATGAGAAAACTATATACCAATTATCAAATCAATATCTTCAAGCATGAGAAAAAAAGTGTGGAAAACTGATTTGCCGGACTGAAGGATGGACAGGACTGACAGACGGAGTGCAAACCTAAAGACCCCTTTGACTTCGTCGGTAGGGGACTAATAATCACAACAATAATACCAATGACAGGAAAGTAATATAACTATATGTTAAACTCGACGTTGAATTGGAGGATAAAAACCATATTTGTACAGCGTAGAAAACATATAGAAAATTTCACTCCAAGGGGCATTCTCCATTATCTGTCCTGAATATGCATTTAAGTTACCGTTACACATTAAACAGCCATCCGTCATCACCATCTTAAAACAACCTCAGTTATGGTTCAGTGAATTTGAAATGTTTTAAATGTTCAAATATTCAAATATTTAGTTTCCTTACAAGGGTATTTATGCAGAAGAAGTTTTCAGTAGACCACTGATATTTGGTATATTGTTGAATAAGGTACCTTGCATTTTAATATATAAAGTTGTTTATTGGTATTTGTCAAATTGATATGCCTGAGTCACTTTGTAAGTTTTAAATTGCATAACCATAATTTTTATTAAAAGCTTTATGTTTGTTATTTACAACCAGGTCAACGTTACATTTATGTCTGGCTTCAGAACATTCACAGCAGATGAAACACAAACCCAAATTTTGTTTGATTAAGTATTAACTTTAAATTGAAATTGAAAATTGACGAAGAGTTCAATTATCTTATGCCTTTCTACAGAACAATATTTAGAATGTGAAAGATGTTTTTGTCGAGCCTTTGACTTTTGTCGAAAAAGTGAGACATAGCGATCCTACATTCCGTCGGCGGTAGCGGCCACAAATATTCACTCTGTGGTTAAAGTTTTTGAAATTTTAATAACTTTCTTAAACTATCCTGGATTTCTACCAAACTTGGACAGAAGCTTGTTTATGATCATAAGATAATATTCAAAAGTAATTTTTGTAAAAAAAAAATCCATGTTTTCCATATTTTACTTATAAATGGACTTAGTTTTTCTGCCAGGAAACATTACATTCACTCTGTGGTTAAAGTTTTTGAAATTTCAATAACTTTCTTAAACTATCCTGGATTTCTACCAAACTTGGAAAGAAGCTTGTTTATGATCATAAGATAGTATCCAGAAGTAAATTTTGTAAAAAAAAAATTCCATTTTTTCCGTATTTTACTTATAAATGGACTTAGTTTTTCTGCCAGTTAACATTACATTCACTCTGTGGTTAAAGTTTTTAAAATTTTAACAACTTTCTTAAACTATCCTGGATTTGTACCAAACTTGGACAGAAGCTTGTTTATGATCATAAGATAATATTCAAAAGTAATTTTTGTAAAAAAAAAAATCCATTTTTTCCATATTTTACTTATAAATGGACTTAGTTTTTCTGCCAGGAAACATTACATTCACTCTGTGGTTAAAGTTTTTGAAATTTCAATAACTTTCTTAAACTATCCTGGATTTCTACCAAACTTGGAAAGAAGCTTGTTTATGATCATAAGACAGTATCTAGAAGGAAATTTTGTTCCATTTTTTCCGTATTTAACTTATAAATGGACTTAGTTTTTCTTCCAGTTAACATTACATACAGTCTGCAGTTTAAGTTTTTAAAACATTTATTAGATTCATAAACTATCCTGGATTTTTACCAAACTTGGACAGAAGCTACATACAATCAAAAGATAGTATAGAGAGGAATATTTTTATTAATTTTTTTCCTCATTTTTGTTGAGCCTGCGATTAACAGCAAAAGTAGGCGAGACACTGGGTTCCGCAGAACCCTTAGAAATTTTTAATGAAAGAGACCTTTTATAGGCATTATCCTTTGTTTTTTATTCTGTATGAAGTACTTACAGACAGAACAGCTTTCTCCATAAAGCTTTAGGGTGGAATTCATTATTTCTACATTTTTGAATTTCTCTGAGAGAACTGTTACCTGTAATGTAATGTAAATATTATACACTTTTCTGATAGAACTGGTACCTATAATGTTATATAAGCAACATACTCAGAATGATATATATATATATATATATATATTATATATATTGTGTAGACACCTGTCTTTTGTTGAAGACTGTTACTCTTTGTATATCTTTTGATTATTTTGATGTTGAGTTGCTGTCACATTTACTAAGCTTAGCGATCGTTCATACAATCAACAACAGAAAAGAAAACAGTATTAAGGAAAATACAGAAAACTTTACCTGATTAGTGAGTGTCAAATGTAGGTCAAAGTCATATGACATACACAAACATATAATCCCAGCAACCATTTTTTCTTCTTCCAAATAAGGTAATATCTAGAAACATGCATTTTACAAACTCATTTTGGCAATCCCTCCTTAAATATGATATTTGATTTGTCTTAAGAACTTTAGAAATGACAAGATTATAGCTATTTAAAAAAAAAACACCCAAATTTCCTAAAATAGACTATTGTGCTACCTTAAGAAGAACTCATGGTCTCAACAACATCTTTGAAATTTATTATTTTAGTTATACAATAAACTATTCTGACATTTTCATCACTCAATATTAATCTATTTTTTGTATATAAAACCTTTTCTCTATAAAAACCTTATTTTTTTTACCTGAATGCCATATTTCTTAGAACTGGAAGAATATTGTTGTTTAACCTGTAGGTAAATATTCTGCCAATATCCTGGTACTTCCTCTGTGTCTATAGCACCTGTAAATGTTCTACTCCAATCAAGTTTGGGCTTTTCACACTAAAACATGTAATAAAACATTAATAGCTACTGATTTAACATTAAAAAAAAACATAACTAAACATTATAAATTGTTTACAATCAAGAAGTTCCAATCTCCATTTTGGCAGACTTTAAATTTGTATCATCAAACAAAACTCTTTCATTGGTAAGAACTCTTGGAAACTCCTATCAAGTCATTAATTTTAGTAGGCCAATGGCAAGATAAACCATATACTGACAATGCTATAAAGTTTACAGATGATCCCATTTTAATGGAGGATATGACATAGAGTTAAGGTTGCTGATTTTTAAATTGATTTAAAATGGTCAAGTTACTGTTTTTTTACCATTCATAAAACATACCTCCTCATTTTTAAATAGATGACCAGTACATAAGCTAAAACCTAAATGTTTAAGTGTAATATTCTTTAGCTAATAAGTTTTAATTTCAGTTCATAGGGAGATAATCCAATATTTCTCCAAAGCATTCAAAACAAACAGAAGGGATGATATTGGATAGTCTCTAACAAGATACAAAAAGAAGGGATGATATTGGATAGTCTCTAACAAGATACAAACAGAAGGGATGATATTGGATAGTCTCTTAACAAGATACAAACGGAAGGGATGATATTGGATAGTCTCTAACAAGATACAAACGGAAGGGATGATATTGGATAGTCTCTAACAAGATACAAACAGAAGGGATGATATTGGATAGTCTCTAACAAGATACAAACAGAAGGGATGATATTGGATAGTCTCTGACAAGATACAAACAGAAGGGATGATATTGGATAGTCTCTAACAAGATACAAACAGAAGGGATGATATTGGATAGTCTCTAACAAGATACAAACAGAAGGGATGATATTGGATAGTCTCTGATAAGATACAAACAGAAGGGATGATATTGGATAGTCTCCAACAAGATACAAACAGAAGGGATGATATTGGATAGTCTCTAACAAGATATTATTTGCCTTCATTTGATAGATATATGAAATTGCATTTTAGTTTCTTCTATTAATATAACTTTAATAATTTCCTGTTTCAAAATCATCTCATTTGAAAGTAAGCATATTTTGCTAATTTTCAATTTCTCAAGAGGAATAGCTTTGCCATTGTAAATAAGGTGTGAATCTTAAAATCATGAATGACTTGTATTTAATGGACATAATAGAAAAACGAAGGATATGGGGTATCCATCCATGACACAAAATCAGTACATGCACAGCAAAAAACACACAAAAAGCAAAGGAACAGTGCTTTTATTGCTGTTTTTCATCTCAAAGTCACAGTGATGCCTTCAACACGGAGCAAAAAAAAAACAAAAAAAAACTCTCACCTCACTGCACACTTAAGATGGCCCCTAGCACAGGTTTGAGCGGGATTCTTTGCTAAAATAATTTGGATAGACTTTGTAAGATGTAACACCATTAAATCAGGCTTAATCACAAAAGAACATACTGGAAAGTAGTACATATTGAAAACAAAATAGTTCCTACGCATAGGTGTAAATATAAAACTATGTAGAATATATTTTGGTTATTAAGGTATCAAAAGAAAGGTGAAGGACTGGTGATCCTTGTAGAACACATATTGACTGAATTTTTGAATAATACAAAAATGTATGAATAAATTCTAAAATTGTTAGCAATACTTATATTTTTTTAAAGAAAGACAAAGGCATAGGAAAATGCTTTTTTGTTGGATATAGAATTTTTTAAGATTTGTACTTTGTTGTTTTACTTTTATATAAAACTTTTAAGTTTATTAAAATCTTCCATATTATCCTTCTGGTAATAAAACCACCTGTCTGTAGCTTAAATTTTTTATTTTTTATATAGTTGCATCTTTGTTTCAACTAAGCTCAATTTATCATAAAGAACAAAATATTTCCAAAAGACAGACATAACAAGAAATAATTGCCAATTTCATGGTATTAAAATTGTCTTCCTTGCGCCTTATATTACAGAACAAAGTATTAGTAAATTTACACAGACAATGGATATTAACTTTGGACTCTGGACTATATTATGACACTACATCATTAACACAGATTTTTTTTTTAATTTTTAATTTTTATTATTTATAACTTCCAATTTACAACATAATACAGTGTATACACAAATAATAACAATATATAAATCTATTGATATTATCTTAACAATACATCTTTTTATTAGGAAGCAATTTTTTTTTTAAATATACAAATATAAGATAAAGAGTAAAGCAGTCTGAACACCGGAGAGAGAGAGAAAGAGAGTGAGAGAAAATAGTGTGGTGAGTTTTCAATACAATTCATCTAGACATTGAATTCTATTTTAGCATAGTAAATACAGCATTTTCATGTATAACATGTATAATATTAAATTTAAAGTGTATACATTTTTGTACTTAACTAAGTAATCTATTAAAAATGTTCCATTCTCTGTGAAACTGATGTTCACATTTGTTTTTCATAGCAATATTTTTGTCAATTGCATACACATATTTCATCTTCTCTTTTACTGAGTTTATTGACAGTTTTTTTTTAAAACATCTGGTATTATAAACATATTGCTTTATGGTAAGAAAAAGAGTATTTTCTGCATTGCCTTTTGATATTTTTGCAATGTTACCAAACAAAAAAACTTCTTTTGTAAAAAATACACTAACTCCATTGGTCAGAAACCAATTTTCAATCTTTTCTAATAATATCTGTGTATGTTCACAATCCCAAAATAAATGTTCTAATGTTTCAATTTCTCTATTACAAAATGTACAATTTGGATTATCATAAATCTTAATTTTATGAAGAAATTTGTTTGTAGCTAAGATTCGATGATTGAATCTATACTGCAGCCACTGTAACTTAGTATTATTTGTGACAACAAATGGCATTTTATAAATTTTTTTCCAATGATTTTGATCAAAGCCAAAAATTTCAGTCCATCTTAACTGACTAGTGGGAACACTTTTATTTTTATTTAAAACAATATACATATCTTTAGATCCTTTTGAACTTTTAACAAGTCTTTTAATAGCAGATGGAATTAAAGGTAGTTCTAATTTGTGATTTTTTCCCACAAATGATTTTGATGCTTGATGTATAGCAGATATAATACTATTATATCTCATGAAATTCACATTTATCTGATACATTTCTTCTAATTCTTGATGAGAGAAAAAAGTCCCATCTTCATTTACAATATCATTTATAAATCTTATACCATTTTCAAACCAATCTTTATAAAAAATAGGTTTATTTGCTACCTTTATGTTATTGTTAAGCCAGATTGGACTAGCAAGAAAGCATTCCCAACTGTCATATTCATCTTTTTCTCTGAGAAGTTGCCATGCTTTCAGAACATCTTGCCAAAATTTATTTTTTATATTTTGTTGTAATTTTTGTATATAAACACTTCCACAACCATAAAATTTTTCAAGTTCTACATGAACATTTGACAAAAAAACATTCTGCCATTTGTTGTCTGTTTTAAATAATCTCCTTATCCACGTACACTTCAGTGCTAAAATAAATGCACTAAGATTTATCATTTTGAGTCCACCATCTTCAATATCATTTTGTAAAACATCTCTCTTTATTCTATCAATTGGTGAACTCCATATAAAATTGTACATAAGTTCAATAACATTTTTTAAAATATCATCACTTGGATTTGGTAAGGATATAAACAAATGATTTAAAATAGGCAATATCAATGTCTTTACAACAGTAATTCTACCAATAACAGTAAGATTTCGTTTTGACCATTGTTTAATTACACATTTTATTTGTACAATTTTTTCATCATAATTAATTTTTACAATTCTATCAAGATTAACATCAAAGCTTATACCTAATAACTTAAAACATGTTTCTCCCCATGTAAGGTTTCTATTTTGGCATAATACCTCATTACTATACTTTTTATTTCCTATCCAAATAACTTGTGTTTTAGAAAAATTAATATTTAAACCAGATATATTTCCAAACCAATCTAATTCATTTAATGCTTCATTCAAAGATTCTTCTTTACCATCTAAAATAAGAGATGTGTCATCAGCAAATTGTGAAAGTTTGTGCTCAGCTTGAGCAACTGTAATGCCATTTATTTTATCATTATTTCGTATTTTTAGTGCTAATATTTCAACACAGAGAATAAAAATATAAGGCGACAAGGGATCACCTTGTCTACAGCCTCGTTCTATAGAAAAAAATTCTGATAGATGTCCTCCCTGATTAACAGCTGATTTAATATTGTTATAAAAAACTTTAACCCAATTAATTATTGATTCTCCAAAATTGAACAACTTCAAGACACTGGTTAAAAATTCCCAAGAAATTGAATCAAATGCCTTTTCGAAATCTATGAGCAATAAAAGTCCTGGAATGTCTTTTTCCTCAGTAAATTGCATAATATCATAAATTAAACGAAGATTTTCTCCAATATATCTCCCACTAATAAATCCAGTTTGATCGAAATCTATCAGTTTATCTAAAACTGTTTTAAAGCGTTTTGCATAACTCCAGAGCCAATTTTATAAACTGTATTTAATAAAGATATAGGTCGCCAATTTTTTAAGAAATGTCTAGGTTTATTTCCTTTCGGCAGGCATGTAATGGTTCCTTGTTTTTGCGTAACAGATAGTTCACCAATCTCAGTACTGTAGTTCAAGGAGTCTACAACAAAAATTTTTAAATCTTTCCAAAAAAATTTAAAGAACTCTGTGGAGAAACCATCAGATCCTGGTGTTTTATTATTTTTCATATTTTTCAATATCAAACCAGCTTCTTCAATTGTTATTTTACCTTCAAGATTATTTTTCTCATCATCAGTTAATTTTTTAAACTTTATATCTTTCAATCCTTCTTCGAGTTTACTGAATTTATCTCCCTTTGACTGATCTTTATTCTTATATAAATTTTCATAAAAAGATTTCACTTCTTTCAAAATATCTTTTTGTTTTGAAATTACATCTCCATTTTCTTTTTCTACTTTTGGTATTATCTTATTTGTAAAATTTTTTGATTCTAGCCCACAAAAATAGCTAGTAGGTTTTTCACCCTCTTCTACCCATTGTATTCTTGATCGAATTATTTTCCCTTTAATTTTTTCTTTTCTTATATTTTCTAATTCATATTTTTTATTTTCCAAAATCTTTATTGAACCTTCATCTACCTTTTCTTCCAAAATTAGGATTTCATTTCTAATATCTTTCTCTTGTTTTTCTTTTACTTTTTTCTTATAACTTGAATAAGATATAGTTTTGCCTCTAATTTCCATCAACATTGTCTCAAGAAATAAGTGACTGTTAATATTAAAATGGAGATCTTCATTATTTATGTCTTCAATTCTATCTATATCATAAACAGGTGTAACATATTGTTTTTTAACTTCTACTATTTTTTCCTTAACAATCTTTATATATTCTGGATCATACAATAATGAATTATTAAATTTCCACAATCCTCTACCTCGATCAAATGGATTAAATTCTAGATTTAATATAACCATAGAATGATCAGAGCGATAGCTAGGCTCAATATTACAATTATTCAAACAGCATAGTAAATTTTCAGACAAAAGAAAAAAATCTAGCCTTGCTTGTTTAAAGGGGGTTCTTGTTCTCCATGTGAAACGTTTCAAATCTGGGTAAAGTTCTCGGAAAGGGTCAATGAGACATCTTTCCTCAATGATTTCTAAAACTTTTCCCCGAGCATTTGGGTTATTTACATGTAAATAGTTAAAATAATCTATATCAGGGTTGAGAACAAGATTAAAATCACCACATATCATATAGCTATCATTACCAAAATCATCTATAATTGACATAGTTTGATCATAAAAAATTGGATTATCTATATTTGGTCCATAAATAGTTACAAGTGTAAAATGTAAAGTATCAACAACTAAGTCTAATACTAAATAATTGCCACCAACATCTTTTTTTTCTTTTAGGACCTTAAACTCAAAGTTGTTATTAAACATAACTGCTACACCTCTTGAATTTGAACTATATGATGAAAAAAAACTATCATATCCCCACATAGCTCTTATATTATTTTCATTTTCACATAAGAAATGAGTATCTTGTAAACAGTAAATATTATAATTCTTTGTTCTTAAATAGTTAAAAACATCTCTTCTTTTAACTTTATCTCCCAAACCTTGGCAATTAACAGTTAATAACTTCAGGGCACACATGATATGATGTCGATAAATACACTAGCACATAACATGACCGTAAAAAATTGTAATAGTAATATCTGATTATTCTCCATATGTATAAAAAATACTAAAGAAAAACATTTCACCAACATATAGAAGCATAAAAAATGATAAGTAGGAAACTCACCATAAACTAAACCAAAACAAAATGTAATGGAATGATATTGCAGAAATGCAATAATTAATAAAAAGAATAAAGGACTGGAAAGAAAAAGATAGAGATAAAAACAAAAATTTAGCATCAAGATGGCAGACATTTTTTATTAAATTAATGTCAGAACAATAGTTTTTTGCAGTATAATTGTTCTTTCAATTTAATATATCCTGTATATGATTTATCAGTTATGACATAGTCAACTATTTTACAAAGTGGAGACAACTTTTATAGTATTAAGATTTGTCCCATGAAAATAAGAAAAACACTTTAAAAAAAAAAAAATAAAATTCATCAAGACATAATGTACATGTAACAATGAAAGTCATATACTAAGTTAACTACTTATTTCCTTTGTCTCAATCTAAGAAAAATGTCATCAAAAATATTGAACTTCAGCTGTAGACCATCAGATATCCTTCCATATACACCACAGTTGAAGTACCATACGTCGCTGAACCATTCAGTCTCATTTAGTCTTTTCATCAATTCAATGTTTCTTTTGGAAATGTCATCATAAAATCTTACATGGTCTTGTAAATTCTTCTTTTCTCGCATCACTCTTCGTTTAACATCGCTACTAAATAATCTCACAATTAGAGGCTTTGGTCCTAATTTGTCAGATGGAATTCTATGGATGGCGACAACATCTCTTTCCTCAAGTTCTACATTCATGTCCCTTTTCACTTTACTTATAAAGTCTGCACGCAGATCTTGTCGCTCTCGCCATGGAAAGTTTATAACTCTTATGTTGTTTTTGCGAGAATATTGTTCATTATAGTTGCTGCTGGTAATCGCTTCTCTTGTCAGTCTTTCATTTTGGTGTAATTCTTTCTTTGTTGCAGATAGGCTTTTCATAGCTACCTCAGCTTTCTCCCTCAAGTTCTCATTTTCAATTGATAATGCATCTATTTTCTCTTGCATTTCCCCTATAACTTCTGATACTTTTTCATCAATTTTTGTCTCTAATGATGAAGTAAATTCTTTAAATAAATTCTTCACAATAGATGTTACAATGACTTCCAGATCACTTGACTTAACAAGATCTTTTGTTGCATTTTCAAGGTCTATCTTTTTTAATCCACCCTCAAGGTTTTGTTTAATTTCATCTAAGTCCCTTTGTATACTAATTATACCAGTCAGATCAACACTTGTATTTGATTCATTTGACACTTCAGAGTGAGTTCTTTTTGGTTGTTTATTAGGTTTTTCTGTTTTTTCTTTGTCAACTTTATCTACTTTGGCAGCTAGTAAAGTCTGGACAGTGTTTCCACATTTTCCACTTTTATTCACAGATCTGTTACTTGTAAGGCTATTGCCTCCAGGCATGTTGTATTAAATCCTTTGTGATCAAGTAAATATAATCAATAAATAGGTGAACACTTAAATCCAAAAAATGGTTTTCTGTAAATATCACAAAAGTTCCACCAAATTTTTCTCATAAGTTGGCATCCAATGATTCAGCAAATTGTTATCTATCAGTCTATCCACTTTTTATCATGCAACAATTCATATAAAACACATAAAACTGCAAAAAACTGGGAGCTGACTTTTCACAGTGTTTTCAGCTCGGCAGCAATCTTAATCCCCTCCTAACACAGATTTAACTGAAGTTCTCCTAGATCCGTTTGACAAAAACATAACAATTAAACAATGATTTAACTGTAGCTCTCCTAGATCAGTGATACAAATGTAAACAATGATACAAAAATTACTATTTTACAATTTTTTGATGGACTGCATCTAACACTAACTGTTTATTCTAAAATTTGATTATGAAAAAAACCCAAAAACATGTAAGTGCTTCTTTGGTCTTAATTCTAAAAAGACAGACCTGGCCATAAAGCCGAAGTCTGTATATTATGTATTGTTCATATTCATCATATGTGTCTTCACCAATAAAAGTCATGACAAACATACTACTGTTATTATAAACAATGTTTTAACTCAAGTCTCATTCATGAAAAGGCACTGAACCGTAGTAAACTTACTGTTATTCTTAATGTAATATCAACTGGATCATTACATTCATTGATTGTGGCCTGGATTCTGGACATTGCAAATCCATCCAGTCTGTAATCACAATCGGATTTCAGATGATAAAACAGACATATTACACCTGTAAAATAAGAACAGATGATGACACGGACATACTACACATATACTTTAAGGACAGATGATATATACATACACAGACATAGTACACCTGTAAAATAAGGGCAGATGACAAAACAGACATATTGTACCTGTAAAATAAGGACAGATGATATAACAGACATATTACACCTGTACATTAAGGGCAGATGATAAAACAGACATATTACACCTGCAAATTAGGACAGATGACGAAACAGACATATTTCACCTGCAAATTAGGACAGATGATGAAACAGACAGTTTACACCTGTGAAATAAGGACAGATGATAAAACAGACATATTTTACCTGTGAAATAAGGACAGATGATAAAACAGATATATTTCACCTGTAAAATAAGGACAGATGATAAAACAGACATATTACACCTGCAAATTAGGACAGATGATGAAAAAGACATATTACACATGCAAATTAGGACAGATGATGAAACAGACATATTACATCGGTACATTAAAGACAGATAATAAAACAGACATATTACACCTGTAATATAAGGAAAGATGATAAAACAGACATATTACACCTGTAAAATAAGGACAGACGTTATAACAGGCATATTACACCTGTACATTAAGGAAAGATGATAAAACGGACATATTTCACCTGTCAAATAAGGAAAGATGATAAAACAGACATATTACACCTGCAAAATAAGGACAGATGATAAAACAGACATATTACACCTGCAAAATAAATACAGATGATAAAACAGACATATTACACCTGTACATTAAGGACAGATGATAAAACAGACATATTACACCTGTAATATAAGGACAGATGATTAAACAGACATATTACACCTGTAAAATAAGGACATGACGAAACAGAACTATTTCACCTGTAAAATAAGGACAGATGATAAATATAACATACATATCAGGACAAGAACATGTGAACAAGATAGGAACATCAACCAAACTCTATTAGATGGATAAACAATGTTTTATTAAACCAAAGTTTGCTAGCAACTGATCTTTTGCATGATTTTCAAATTATATTTTTTTTTTTTTTTGTAAATATTAATTAACGCCTTCTTAATACCTACTTAGCTTGACTGAATTGTGGTGAGGACTAACATGCTATTTTTAGTAATATATATAGTTGAAGGCAGATGAGGTTAACAACAACAAATTGTGAATGTACCTTATTATAATATTTAAATAGCAATTGACCTTCACATGACTTATCACATATTTTTATTATACTTCTTATATAGAAATGGTGGCAGCAATGTTTGAAGGTACATTTGTAGTTATAAACTTAATCTTAAAGAAGATCATGAATATATCTTTCAACAAACGTTCGGTAGCAATTTGCCCATCACATGATTTTTCAGAATAACTATTTGAAAAGTAACGTATGAAGACTGGTGGGTTCATCAACAAAAATTGAGAAAGTTCTGTCATATCTGCAGCAATTTATCGTTCACATAATTAACCTTTTGAACTTTGTCAAATATTTTTTACTTGCCATGTTTGAAAATAGTTGGGGTCACAAATGAATCATGTCCTCAAAGTTTTATAGAAATTAGTCCCTTGCTGAATTGTAAAATTGGTTTTGTTGTTGATTTTATCACCAAGTTCAAATATTAAGAATAGCAGCCATGTTGAGTTAATGACAGTAATATTGGACATACCTTTATACAAGAAAGAAGAGAAGGTTTTATTTGGCCAAGAGGTTTCAGACAAGACTATTAAGAAATATTGATATTCTTTTATATTATCTGACCCACGGTTTAGCTAAGAAATTGGTCTTCATGTTTTTTTTGTCCAATTTCCACTTTTAGTTACAATAGAGGGTACCTAAGGATGATGCATGCCAGTTTGGCCCCAACAGCTGGGCCTCAATTTGCTTGGAGATTAAGGTAGCAATAAACAGTTAGGAAAAAATATTAAAATTTACCATCATAAATTTTACCATCCCCTTTTCATTGCTTTCTTGCAAATAAAGCTTACTGTTTGTGTCATATATGTGCATATGTATGTAATCAGAATCTTCCATAGATTTTATATCCAGTAGTTAAAATGGTAAAATATAATTTCTTTTTGGTGTATCCATGGCAACAATCTGCATTCATTTGTTATAAAATATTGCAAATAGGGGGGAAAAGATGTCATATATTTCCCCAAAATTTGGCCAGAAGTAGAATTTCAATTGCTTGGAGTAGTACCTTTCCTGAAACTATTTACAAGAAATCCAATAAAAATCATATGTCTTTCATCTCATTTTTTTGTAAAATTGCGTCAAAAACTTCGTGTAGAAAAAAAGTGTTTGTAAACACTAAATTAATTTCTGGACCTATGGCCGGTCTAGCTATGAAAATACGGAGAGTCAAACAGAAAATAGCCCATAAAACATGTAAAAAATAATCTTTATGTTCTTATAAACCATCTTTGAAGGCTAAATAAGTACTCAGCTGTCTAAAAATGAATTTTATTGCACAATAACTTTCATATTTGAAAAATCCACCGGGGCCAAAATGCGAAACCAAACTCCTAACTGTGTACCTAAAGTGAAGATTTAAAAATAGTTAATGATCTATGGAAGACAGTTGATACTATACTTGATAGGCAGACACCAAAAGTTGACATACTGGCCCTTTGTTCGTTTGACCAGCTGAGTTAAAATAAGGAAAATGATCTTACCTTGGACAGTTGACACAAAATGATCTTACCTTGGACAACTGACACAAAATTATCTTACCTTGGAAAACTGACACAAAATGATCTTACCTTGGACAATTGACACAAAATGATATTACCTTGGACAATTGACTCAAAATTATCTTACCTTGGACAACTGACACAAAATAACAGAGTATGATTACACAGAAAAATGAAACTCCAGGAGACATATTTATTGTAGTTGTCACATCTGCAGATTTATACTAGATTCAAGCTCCATATCTGAAGTAAAAAAATGTAATTAGTATGTACATGTACATGTTTTACACAAATTTAAAGTACTGGTATCAATGAATTGATGTTCTATGAGGAATTGGGGACATTAATAGAAGAGTGACATTTTTCAAAAGAACTTTAAGTTAATGACTTTAATGCATCCACCTTAAATAGTATTTTATCAAAATATCATTCAAAAGCTTATTATATGTACGATTATGTACTGACTGTCTTGCTTGGTGGTAAAAAAAAATTGTACATGTATGTGCAATTTCCACACGACATTGTACTGCTTCAGCCGTAGTTGTTTTGGCCATACTTTGTATGTAAAAACGTTTAAATCATCATGATCATGGGTTTTTTTGTTAAAAAGAGAGGGAAATGTAATTATTTCTACAAACAGACATGATGATGATGAATGGCTGCATAACGTTCAGCAGCAAATTGATATGCATATTCAGGACGATAACATGATAATGTAATATGACACACTTTCTGATATGTACAGATTTCATTTTTGTTAAAGATTTTCCTTTTTTAACTTATTTCCTGTCAAAATACTTAATGCATATATATATGAACATTTATAAATGATGTGGCTGAAACAACTATGGTAAAACTTAAACTGGTACGGTGGCCTAAACTACCTTTAGCAGAATTGTGCTCAAAATGTTGGAAAGCACAAAATAAGATAAGCATAATTTGGAGCAAAACTTATGCCTTATATCGTATTCTAGGAGATGAATAATCCCTTTTGTGATTGTAGGTCTTCTGAGGGCGGCCAAATAAGAAAATTGCTCAGGACTTTGAATCACACATAGGATTTATCGTCGAAAATGTATACATTTTTTTGTTGACGAACATAAAAAAAAAAATGATTTAATATTTCAAATTGGACTTAAATGAAGCATTACTATCGGAATTAATGGAGATGTGCCACTAACGTATTTACGACAATTTTTACAAGGACAATCCCCACCCCAACACAAAGAGAGTGCTAGGACACCGGGAAGTCTGTTATTATGGTGGTAAAAGCCAAAGTACTCGGAAAGAACCACCGGGCCACTCGGCGGAAACAGACAAACTGGAGAGATATCAGAAGATTGATCTCCAGCTCAAAGTAGCCATTTTCCAGCGCCCTGAGTCAGAATCAAACCCAGGACCTTCAGCACTAGAGCCATCTGTCCTATCCACTAGACCACGAACCCCACTTGTTTTGTTGATTTTAAAAAAATATTTCAGATATTTTTGGGGAAATGAGATTAACTACTCAAAATAGATTTGCCAGTGAATCGATTCATATTAAATATGATACAATTTGAAAAAAATTTAGCAGAAATATATACGATCAAAGTGTGCGGATTTACCGGACTGCATCGTAATAAAAATCTGAAAGGATGTTTTAGTTTCAGTTTCAGTCTGTCACCTGGATACAGGATACCATTATTTCAATGTTACATAACAATTAAATCTTTTTAGGGATATTCAGTGTGAAAACCTTTAAGACACGGAGTATCAAATTGCCTGCTGAAACGCACCAAACGAAAGTGAATAAACAAATAAACCAGATGAAAAAAAAACTTACTTTTGTTTACGGAAATGAACTTTCTAAAATCAATCCGTCACTGGAAAGTGTATGAGATATTTCCGGAAACTCTGCTCAATCCATACATGGTTTTCATTCGGAACATTCTAAATGAAGTGTAACATGTATCACCACTGGTTTTGAGTTTGCATGATTGATATTTTGATAGAGCAAGGATTTACATAGATTATCAATCATGTAATTCCTTGGAGCCGTGAGGAGAATTTTTTGCCCCCCCCTCCCCTTTCCCCCCAAAATCCGATATTTTTTTGTTTTCTTCAAATTTCAATCATTTTTGTGTTTATGTATTACACACATATACTAGAAACAACATTTCTTTACGATTTGCTATCAATGCCTATTTCTAGTTTACTAGACTGGACAGCGACGGTCACTGACGGTTAATTGATACAGTGTGTAAATCGTAAACAAATATTGTTTCTGGTAAATATGTGTAAGTATTACACAGAAAAAAATACGAGAATAATTAAAATTAAACGAAACAAACAAACAAACAAACAAAAAACAGATTTTGGAAAAGGGGGAGGGCAAACAAAATTGTCCTGTCCCCAAGCTGGGACTATTTCAATATATTATGTCCCAGCCCCAAAAACTTATGGAATATTAGAGAAATATAGAATTGGCGTACTCCGACATTATTTTCTAACTTTAAATAAACTATTGGGAATACATACTGGTAGGGATTCCATGATGATGTAACGACGAAACGTAACTGGTAAAAATGGTCGGTTGGTTAGGTTTTCTTTTACAGTATTTCTCTTCGTAATGGTTACTGAAAAAAAAAATGCCACCAAGAAACAATGGAAACATCATCCGAAAAGATACAACACCACCTGCCTTAAACAAGCCCAGAATACTTGGAAAAGTGTGAAAAAACCAACTCAATTGATGTTAAGGCAGGATAAATAAAAGCAAGAATAGTCTATAACGTATCTGTTTCAAGCAAAGGGAGCCAAGTTTGATAAAAAAAAAATCCATTGTGTGGACAGAGAAGCGAAGACCTGGAACATTTTATCCTATATTGTGCGGAACTGGAACAAATCAGATCAAAATCATACTGCTATAAGATCAAACAATGCGGGACAAATCTATGTATGAGAACATTATAAATGATGGCAAACTCCTTCAGCTTATAATTGACTGCACTAGCAAAGACATAGACTGCATGTCATACAAAATTTTTTGAATATATAGAAAGCATGGATGAAAACATAACCATGATTACAGTACACGAGAGCAAAATGTTCATGAAATTTTAAACATTATTTTTAATTTATTTAATATATGAATTTAAAAACTTGTGATGGCTACATACATGTACATGTATATACGTTCTGATTCTGAATTAATTCCACCCACCTACGTATATACATTTAATACGTGTTTTATTTAATTTCTCGCGTTGTACATTGTAGTAGCTCTTAACAATATGCATATTTTATTTGAACGACATGCACAACCTTTATAACATATTGCACAGTTTGAACCTTTAAGCTTAATTACTCTTACCTGATGTTTTACATAGACATTTTTCATTTTAATTGTATTTCAAACAGGTGTTACCTTTATAGAAGTTGTCTCTGACAATTTAATTAAAACATCCCACTATAAAACAACTAAAGGTTTTTGCTTGGAAATATTTACATGTCATTTTCTATGATAGAAAATATCATCAAAAAATTCCATTCCATATAGTAAGTATCCGAAAAGACAAGAATATAGTCTATCAATTCCTAAAACAAAATCACAGGCTACAAGCACAGGAGAAAACCAAGAACCTACTGAAGAACATGCGCTATTATTCGGCTGTTATTCATCTCAAACTCACATACATATGTCTCAATAAAATAAAATGTTCACCTCAATACAAGTTCAAGACGGTCCTTTGAACCAATTTGAGCGAAATTCTGTGTTAGATGTCAAGGAAGCTAAAACTGTACATTGAACAAAAACACAGCTGCAGAGGAATATCATTATAGTTTGAAATAGTAGAAATCTCAGCCTTGTTTTACTGTTATAAATTGCCAGACAAACTCACTGTAAAACACAGAAACACTACAAACATTCAGTATATATATATATATACGTTTACCATGGGCACATAACGTTGCGGCGGGAGTGGAACCAAGGTTCGAGGGAAAAAGGGGGGATAAATGCCAAGAATGGTGAAAATCTCGCTGAGCGATGCTAAAGATAATTTTGCCAATTTCCCCTATACTGTAAATATATTTGTTAGAAAACTTACAAGAGATGAAGAGATGTATACGGTGTCTAGCTGGCCACATGTACATGTATACCATATTTATACATGTACATGTATACGTAAAATGAGATGATCATTCAGTGACCAGCTATTCATGCGCAGTTGTGTATATAAAACATTCTACGGTCCCAGCACCAAATTACTTTTGGAAATTTCAGAATATTCTCGGTCTAACGTGTATAGTATTTATGTTAATTACTCGATTAAAAACTAAATTCTGCAAAGACAAATGAGCCTCTTTTCAACATTTTATAGAACAAGAAAAACTGCATGTATGTTTTCCCTTTTTATAGATAACCTCCGTCGTGTACTTTGTTAGATCTTAGATAGATCTTTATTCTCATTAACTAAATGACATAGTTACAGAGATGAAAATATAAACAAAATACAACATATTTTGCATGTGTGAAATATACATAAATAAATGTAATTTAACCAGGAGGACAGACTTTCACTGATATATAGTTTATAAATCTACACAATTTTTCTAGTAAGACAATATTGACTGTAGTGAATACATTTTTAAATTTAAGAATATTAACATTTGTACAACAATAGCGTGGTAAATATTTATATCGTTCTTTTTTGAAAAAAGGACAAGACATTACATAATGGAATTCATCGCCGATGTCAGTAGATTCACAAAGGTGGCATAGTCTCTCGGGTCTTTGAACATTTTGCCACCTCCCTGTCTCCACTGGCAAACGGTGATTGCCACATCTAAATTTACATAGTTTCAGTGCATTATTTAACGATAAAATTGAAATATAATTTTCAAATTTAAGTTCTGTTTTGAATAATTTATAACATAGACCTTTTGATGATTGATTTACATTTGCTAGCCATTCTTGTCTAAACTGATCTTTTAACTTTTGTTCAACGCTTAATACAATCCATTTTTTTGAAATACAATCTTGATTTTGCCATATGTTTGACATTCCACAATTATCAAAAATACTTTTGATACATAACAACCATTTGTTTTCAATTCCATACTTATTAAAATTAATATATATCAACTTATATAACATTGACGAAATCTTGTTATCAAGTGTGTTATCAAGAAGGTTACACCAAAATTTTATCATCCGTAATTTAACGTATAAAGAAATAGGATATCTTCCCAATTCCCCGTAAACCATAAAATTTGGAGTCGATCTTTTTAACCGTAAAACATGTTTACAAAAACTCAAATGTACCCTTTCCAAAATGTCAAGATTTTCGTATCCCCAGATTTCGGCCCCATATAAAAGTATAGGTAAAACAGCTTTATCAAACGTATCGAGCTGGCATTCTATAGATAGATGGTTAGATCTACACTTCTTAATAACACAATACATAGCTCTAGTAGCTTGATCTTTAAGATATTTTCTAGTTGCAAAAAAAGAAGCATTTCTAGAGAATATAACACCAAGGTATTTATACTTCTTAACAATTTCTATCTCTTCGTTATTAATATAAAACTTCAAATTATTCTGTGGTCTACCTTTTGAAAATATCATTACCTTTGTCTTGTTAACATTAATTTTAAGTTTCCACTTTTCACAATATTGAGAAAAACTATTTAAAAGTAATTGCAGATCTGTGCTTGTCTCAGCGAGTAAAATCGAATCGTCGGCATACAATAAGACAAATATCTTAAAATAAATATCCAGTTCATCTTCTATATCAGAAGTAATTGAATGTATACCTTTCAAATCGCTATTTTCTAAAAATCCATGAAGATCATTTAAATATAAAGAAAATAATAAAGGAGAAAGATTTTCTCCTTGGCGGACTCCAATATCACTTACAAACATGTCAGATGCTTCATTATTATGTACAACTCTTGATTTAACATCTTTATACAAATTTTCTACAATTCTAAGAAATTTACCAGTTATCTTATTTAAAACAAGCTTATACAGAAGTGAGTTTCTTTGAACAAAGTCGAAGGCTTTTTCAAAGTCAACGAATACACAATGTAATTTTTTTCGTTTGACACATAGCAACTCGAAGAGTGCATATAATGAAAAAATATGATCGTTGGTAGAGTAGCCCTGTCGGAAGCCTGCTTGGTTTTCGTTCAAGATATTTAGTTCATCAACAAATTCCCCCAATCTATCATTAAGAATAGATGTAAAAATCTTACCGAGGCATGACAATAAAGTAATAGGCCTATAATTTTTTGCTTCTAATTGACATCCTTTGTTCTTGAACACTGGTATTATGTTTCCAATAAGCCAGGCCTCCGGCAGAATACCCGTATCAAAAATAAGATTAAACAATTTCGTTCCTATCATGTCAGTCTACTATCGAGCTTATAAAGAGTTTGATTTGAAATGCCCCAAGTACCATCCACGTTTCTAAAATAGGTTTAATACTTTTTAGACAATTTCTTTTTCTTTAGAGATAATCTGTTTCAAATGTATTTACGAATGTATATTAGTTCTAAAGATACTGGTAGAACCTTTATGTCTTGAATGATACAAGGGACCCATGTAGTTATATTAAGGTATATATGATTTTTTTCAGAGATAAATGCCTGTGCTTTTATGCTAGCATCCAAACACATGATTACTAGTTTAGTATTGTATTATGTAGAAGACTTCATAAGTATGT